AGTTAGATGGAGAATTCTTTTCTAACAACACTTTCTTCTTAGAGCGCTGTAAACAAAGCTCTGAAACGTGTAATTAACCTGTCAATGTTTGAAGACAGTCTTGATGTAACCCACACAAAAGCCAGTGACACCAATATTTACAAGTGTTCTCCTTCCCAGCCAAAACATTATCTCTGTTTTCATACATGGCAGACACATGCTTCCTAGGATGGAAATTACATCTGACTTAATACAGCGGGTGTGCCTAGCACACAAACGATGCCATTTTTAAAGTCAAGGTTTGTGGCAGTACCAAGTTCAGAGTCCCAGCACCAACAAGTATACGTGGCAATCAGGTGACGGATGAGCGAGAGACAGAAAGCCACAGGGTGTAAGGCCAGAAGGAACAACCAGATCATGTATTTTGGTCTCCTGCACATCATGGGCTAACCTCTACCCCGTTACCCCTCCAATGAGCCCAATAACCTTGCCCTACGCTGGTCTAAGAAATATACCACATCAAGCCAATGAACAGTCCCATGGCCTTAGAGACTAACAATTAGGTCATGAGCTTTCATGGGGAAAGCCCACTTCATCAGATGGGTTGGAGTGGAAAATACAGAATCCAAGGTATATATAACAGCAAAAGAAGTTACCTGTCAATTGTAGGACCCGTGTTAACCTTCATCTGATGAAATGAGTTTTGCCGATGAAAGCTTATGATCTAATATATTTGTTAGTTTCTAAGGTGCCACAGGACTGCTCCTTGTTTTTAAAGATACAGACTAACATGGCCCCCTCCCCCTCTGAGATCAAACCAGTCATCCATCAAGCCCAACATGCTACTCCTCGCAATGGCTAGTCCCAGACACATCCAAGGAACTCAAAACACCTCCCACCTGAAACTCACCACACCTCGCTGTGCAATGCTCTACAGAGAAGTTTCCCTTCTGATTTGTTCAGGTGACTAGAGGTACATGCTTGGGCATCATCTGAAGATACTTAAATAAGGGCAAACATGTCAGGTCATGAGTCTGGCAGCCTTTAAAAGAGCAGTTGTAGTATTGAGACTCGGGGAACCTACTGTGTCAGGAACTGGGCAGCATTATATGTAAATGTCATTTGTACAACCATTCCAATGCTGCCCAAAGCTGGAGTTTGGAAGTTTGGGTCCTAAAATGGGCGACAGCATAGAAAAAAATGGCCCATAAAAGCAACTCATTTTACCAGCCAGATACAGGCACGGAGACTGAAGACACTGAGGTAGAAACCCATTGGCTGTGTTTGGCAATGGTCATCTATGGAGTAAGAGTCTGGTCTTGTGCTCACTGAGACAGTGGAAAGAGACCCGTTGGCCTTGTGGGGCCACTGGAGCAGATCCTTAAAAAAGCAAAGGCTTCACCTGGAGCTAGAAGGCAGAAGCCATCGGGGCCTGTGCAGTCCCTGCTACAGGTGCAGTCAGCAAGTCACCCACCACCCCTGCGTCCTCAGCTGGGTTAGCAGTCAGCTTGGCCAGCCCAGGAGAGACAGGTTCAGACCAGACTCATCTTTGTCTCCTGAGTGAATGATACATTCTAAAAAGTCCCCATATATTTAAAAATAAGAAGAACGAAACAATACCAAGGTGGGAGCAATATGGCCAACCCCAAGGGCTCGACAGGCATGAGTCAGGACCTCCAAAATTAAGATGGTTTGTATTGCCGAGCTTTTCTCTGAGGCCACAACTGGCTTTTCTGAATGAAAGCTGGGATCGCTCTAAAATCCCATGACTCCAAGAGCTGGGGCTTTAAGAAAAAAGACTCAGGGCTTGTCTAGACAAGTAGCAAGCATGTGGCAACGTGTGGGAAGGGTAAATCTTTTGTGCACTGGGGTATGTTTAGACTTACTTTAACTTTCGAAAGAAGATATGCAAATGTGGCGGTAATTTGCATATCTTCTTCCAATCACTTTTTTCAAACTTTTTTTTCCCCCGAAAAAGCAAGCAATTTAGATGTGGTTCTTTCGGGGGAGGGTGGGAACCCCTTTTTTTCAAAAGAACCTGTAAACCTCAATATTTGAGGAAGAAGTTTCTTTCGAAAAAAGGGGTTTTTTTTTCCTGAAAGAACCACGTCTAAACTGTTAGCTTTTTCGGAAAAAAAACTTTCTCGAAAAAGTGATTGGAAGAAGATATGCAAATTATTGCCAAATTTGCATATCTTGTTTTGAAAGTGAAAGTTAGTCTAGACATAATCTTGCTGTTTGCACGGCCTTTCTTCTCTGGTACATATTAACCTACAACGGCTTCAAAGCACAGAAGAGCAAAGCATTCTATGGAACTTTTACGGTGTGATGGTGTGGTCTACTAGGACAGTTAGTATAATGCATGCTAGGGTGCTGTAGATGTACATTCCAGTTTGCTAGGCATTAACTGTTTATCTAGGCACCCCAAAGTGCTGCAAGATTTGAGATGAAATCAGGAGACTTGGAAGAGCTTGAAAAGGTAAATGACATTTTCAGGAAACAAAAGATCTTTTAGAAAAATAGCCCAGGACCTTAAAGATTGATGTGCTACCCTCATCACGCCATTGTATGCCTTTCCCCCTCCAGGATGGCTTGGTCTCAAGAAGCAAAGACTAGCTGCAGATTTGTATTTCTCAGCATTTACTGGTTTGCCACCACTTTAGTGTTCTTTAAACATAGCCTGTGGCATTTTCCAAGACGGCTTTCCTGGTTCCCAAGAGTTCCTGACCTATTTATAGCCCATGGATACATAGTGAGAGATGGGATGAGTCCAGCCAGTTTCCTGGTTGGCTCTTTACAAACAAACAGTTTGGTTTGCCTTTGTCCGCTGAGGACAAGTATGTTTCGCTGTGTCTAAAGCCACAAATATACAACACTGTCACCCGCACATTCTCAAAGGGTGAACTCTGTGCTTAAAGTCCTAAGTCCCACAACGCCCAGGTTATGTCTTGTTTGTGTCTAATTTAGACCTGGGTGGGTCGGACAAAAGACCAACTAATTCAGTGTTGTAAACCAGCCTGCTCAACAACGGTTTGCAAGAGGTCACGGCAACCAAGAGCGCTTAACGCTGTGCAATCTGCCAGGAATTGTCTTTAGTGTCTAGGGCAAGGTTTAATAAACAGCTCTCTCAGCATTATTATTAATTGTTACTTACAACAGTACCCAGGAACCCCAGTCAAAACCACAGTCCTGCTGTGCTAGGCACTGCACAGACAAGTAACAAGAGACAGTCTCTGCCTCAGAGAGTCTGTGTAACCCACACCCCCTCTGGGTGTGGCACTGTCCCATCTAGTGGCACCTAGACCACTTAAGGAGAGAATAACGAGTCTGCTCTATAGCCTGCTCTGAGAACCGGCTGGCTTTTAGCTCAAGCTGTAGAGCAGTGTTTCTTAAACTTTTTCAGACCGAGGAACACCAAATAATAATTTTTTTTATGAGGAACACCAAGGATTTTTTGTTGAGCCAAAAAAAAGGGTCGTGGGGAAATTGTTGAGGAAAAAAAAGTCGCCTGCCCCTTTAAGGGTGGCCATTTTGAACTCTGTTCTCCACCGCACATCTCCGACTGCCTCATGGCACACTGGTGTGCCATGGAACACAGTTTAAGAGACACTGCCATAGAGGCTCACACAGGAAGCTCCAGAGGTCGCCGTTTCGGTTCCACCTCTGGGTGTTACAGCTGCATGCAAGGATTAGAAAAGAAAATGATCCCGTGATATTGAATCCCACAGCACTTACAAAATGGCTGCCTAGCCCTATGCAGCCAACTTGCCATCTACGGGAACTCTTGCTCCCCTGAGTGGTTCCATCGACTGCGGGGGGAGGGGGATAAAGGCCTGCATGGTGAGAGGCGACATGATGACTGGTATTGTGCTCCAGCGGATAAGGGCCCAGCCTGGGACTCCGGTCTAGTGTGAACTCCTGGTCCATTCCCAATCAACAGCACAACTGCCGTGGAGGCAGGAGTTCATCCCCGGGTCCGATTCCTAGCTCTGCTAATGACCAACGAGGCAAGTTAGTTGACCTCATTTCACCACCTCAAATGTGGTCGCCTTGTCTCCACAAAGGGTATCCTGGCACTGGAAAAAATTCAGAAAAGAGCAACAAAAATGAGGAGGGTTTTGGAACGGGGCCATATGAGGAGAGATGAATAAGACTGGGGTTTTCAGCTTAGAAAAGAGAAGACTAAGGGAGGGTGCAATGGAGGTCTAGAAAATCATGACAGGTGTGGAGAAAGTTAATAAGGACAAGTTATTTACTTGCTCCCAGAGTGCACGAAGTGAGGAGTCACCAAATGAAATCTATAGGTAGCCCATTTAAAACAAACCAAAGGAAGTACACAAGACACAGCCAACCTGTGGAACTCCTAGCCGGAGGACATTGTGAAGGCCAGGACTTTAACAAGGTTAAAAAAGAGAACTAGATAAATTCATGGAGGACAGGTCCATTAATGGCTATTAGCCAGGATGGGTAGGAATAGTGTCCTTAGCCTCTGTTTTTGAGAGCTGGGGATGGCCAACAGGGGTGGGATCACTTGATGATTCCCTGTTCTGTTCATTCCTTCATTCCCTCTGGGGCACCTGGCATTGGCCACTGTCAGCAGACGGACCTTTGGTCTGACCCAGTGTGGCCCTTCTTATGCTTCTTCCTCTCCACCCCTGCTTCCATTACCCTCCCAGGCCTTTGTCTTGTCTGCACTGTGTGATCATCAGGACTGGTTTTATCTACATGCAACTACAGTAGGGCCCTGACCTCAGACAGGCAATCTAAGTGCAGTGATGGGACAAATAATTCATTAATCTTCACAACAGGGATGTGCCAGGAAGCAGTCTTTGCAGGATTGGACCCCTACTCTTCAGCAACGTTAACGCTTCTTTCAAAACTGTAGATCTCGGCAAAGCACGAAAGCCTGTGATTCAGAGATTAAACCCAGACCCCCTCATGCCTCCAGCAAACTTTGGGGCAAGTCTGATGTGGATCTGGACATCAACTCAGCAGTGGGCTCGTCTTTCTTAGGCTTTGTCACTAAGCTGGGCTAATTCTTGGGCATCTGCGTAGGCTGTCCCTAGTCGGGACCTGGAATGCATCGGCTTAAACCTGGAGGCCCTGCAGGTCTTCAGAAAAGAGGGAGCAATGTACGTGTTAAAATCCAACACAGAACGGCAGTTGTGTTTGTGCAAACAAGCTTCTTTTTGTTGTTATTTGCTAATCTAGTCTAGACATTCTTGTGTGACACAGCATCATGTCCACTCTGGAGTGTGTCAGGTCATTTTCTTAAAAGAAAAAGTGGCAGTAGATAAAGTTAAGGGGATGGATGTTCCATTTAGTTGCTCGTTTATTTTTGCCTCTGGGAGTGCCACTGCGTGGTTCCAGAAGTGATGACAGAAACTGAATTTGGATTCTCTACAAAGAGAGCCATTAAAAGTCAAAAAATAGGGAGGCCTAATTTTTGTGGGCCCTCCAAAACGGAGACACCCAAAATGACTAGGTCAGTTTGGAAACATTGGTCATAGAACTGGATTCGGCAACATCGACATCCGTCCCAGCTTCTGTGCTGTGCAAGTAGCAGAACTGGAAGATCGTGAGTTCTTCATCTTTTCTCAGTTTAAAAGTAAAAAGCAAATTTCCAGCTGACCCTAGGGAGATGCAGGAATGTTCCTGGGCAGGAGAGCGGTAAACGTAAGAGTCAATTTTAAGCAAACATTGCACAATATTGACGAGAGACTAATTTTGAATTTACAGCTGCGAGTATTTTCCCTGAAACAGGATTCAAGAGTTACACTGTTTCAGCCAGGGGCCAGAAACACCCAAGTGTCTAATCGGCAGCTCAGATGTTGGAGACTTACAATCCACAGACCAAGAACATTCACTTCCTAATTCTGAGGAACAAATCAGTCAGAGATGAAGTTTGTGGAACAGATTATTTGCCGTGAGTCATTTGCCCAGTTACAATGTGTGCACGTTATAACAAAAAGAGTTTGCATCAATTCCTGAGGTCACATGGAGAAAGGTATTAGAGAGCCTATTTCACTAGTCTTTAAAAACACCGCATTTTTAAAAGCATTTTCATGCACTATTACAAAAGTTACAGATTAATTGAACTGACTGGCTTAAAGTATCTGCATTTCTTGCGCAAAAATAATGTGACAAATTAAGTTTTTATTTAGTTCTCCTTCAACTGGGAAAGGCTGTAATTATGTTAGTGTGTTTACCGCTAAAATATATGTTTAAATAATAAATACGTGTTCTAGGAAACTATTTTCAATGTACTACTTTAACATAATCAACTGCCTTTCAAGCCTGTGAATATTTCAATTGTGATTAAAACGATATTATTTACATTTCACATTTTACAGTTTGACCACGAAAAAAAGTTTTAAATTAACTTTTTTTCCCCCTTTTTTACTTGGCTTCTGACATGTGATGGGAATTGTATTGTAAATATCTATGTGACATTCTGTTATGGTCAACATTATTATCTGAGCATCTTATAGTCTAACTTTTTTTTTAATCCTCACAGTACCGCTGTGAAGGAGAGCAGGGTCATGACCCCATTTCACAGATGGGGAACTAAAGCCCAGAGAGGTTAAGCACCAGAATTTTCAATGTATTCCTCATTCCCACAGAAATGAATGGAAGCTCAAGTGCTCATATGCCTTCTAAAATCCAGCCCTAAGTGATGTGCCCAAGGTCATATAAGAAGTTGGTGGCAGAGGAAGAACTTGCACCCCCGTATCCTGAATCGCAGGCTGGAGCCCTACCCACTTTTTCTAAGCCAGAATAGTCCATGTAAATAAAGTTGCATGCATAACCCATCTGAAACTTGTGAAGAGCTTAGTGGTTGGCTTTCCTCCCATAGCTCAAGTTTTGCTCTGGGTTTTGTGCAGCTTGGTCAAAGCTACCAAGATTTGCCTGGTTCTCTGGCAAAAAAATCACGAGACACTAAACATTTGACTTGGTTTTAAAAATAAAATCACAAATCCAACCAGGTTTGCTCAAACCTAGCCCCACATTTGCAAAACCAGCTCCAAGTTTTGCTCTTGCAATGACATCCAAACATCGGAAGCGCTTCATTCCCCCTCCACTAGCAAAGGGCAGCGAAAACGTTCACTGGATAGCTACCTTCACTTTGGACACTGAAAATCCAATGGACATTTTTAGCAAAGGGGAGATAAAGTGACTGATTCCTCTTGTCTTGTGTCTGTGGATGCTGTATGTAGTCTGAATTATTTAGAGATCATTCAGCTACCTTCACGCATTTCCAGGTTTGCTTTTAATGGACTCCCGGTTCTTTCAGCAGTCATATCTTTTCCCTGTGGGATTTCACATTCCATTTCTAGGTTACAGAACGGCAGGAACAATTTTACAGTGAAGGCTGCAAGACAATTTCCATTCTCAGCCCAATTACAACCCACTCTCTAAGATTCACAAAGAAACAAACTAACTCCTTTCCGTCTGAATCTTCCCATAATCTGCGCCGACAACAAGGCCTTTCCACCATCTACAACAACAACTGATTCCCCAGCTTTCAAGCTGTGGAGCTTTGAAGCTGCCAACCAATTACCTTTATTAATCACTACAACCGGTTTTCAAAATGGAAACGCCAATGCTAGGAGCATTTCCTGATGCCGCCTCTCCAGCCTCTTCCTTTCCTAATCTTTTGCCTGTCCCATTAAAAGTCTTTAACTACAATGGTGCATATCCTGCAGACCCTTATTAAAGCAACTCCTCCTCCAAGACCGTGGGGAGTTTGGTCTACTTAAGGGCTTCAAAATGGACCCCATTTTTTACACCTGCTTTGTTATAATATACCCTTCCATCCGTCTGCACTAGTCTTCCATATGAGAGCGAGAGAGAGAGATGGAGTCCTCTGCACATTGTAAGACTGATTTAATATTTAAAATATTCAGTCCTGGGGATTAAAAAGGAGGCAGGGGAAGGCAAGATCCTGTTTCAAGCTTTTTTAGCTTAATCCCGTTTAATTCAGAAACCAAAAAATACAGCTCTGCACCTGCTTCCCAAGGAACCTTGAGCAACCAAGTCATGGCCGAAATGTCATAGAATCCTAGAACCAGAAAGGACCTCGCGAGGCATGGAGTCTAGTCCCCTTCCCTCAGGATCAAGCCCCATTGAGATCATCCCTGACAGCTGTCTCTGTAACCTGCTCTTCAATATCCCCGGTGATGGAGATTCCACAACCTCCCTGGGCAATTGATTCCAGTGTTTGACCATCCTGGCAGGTAGGACGTTTTTCCTCGTGTCCAACCTAAACCTCCCTTGCTGCAATTTCAGCCCACTGCTTCTTGTCTTATCCTCAGAGGCCAAGGAGAACAATTTTTCTCCCTCTTCCTTGTGACACCCTTCTAGGTACCTGAAAATGCTATCGTGTCCCCTCTCCGTCTCCTCTTTTCTAAACTAAACAAGCCCAATTCTTTCAGTCTTCCCTCAGAGGTCATGTTCTCTAGAGCGTTCATCATTTTTGTTGCTCTTCTCTGGACCTTCTCCAATTTCTCCACATCTTTCCTAAAACGTGGCGTCCAGAACTGGACACAATCCTCCACAAACTGAGGCCTAGTCACTTGTGATGTCGTGTTTCAGAAGGATCTGGGAAACAACAGACTTAAAAGCTTATAATGTGAGAGAAGGAGAGAGGGAGAAGGAAATAAAGACACATGAGCAATGGAATAGTGGAAATAAAGTGAAATGGAAGAGAGAGAAGAGAAAGGCTTGCCTTGAGGCATGACACACCTGGCTTGGTACTTTCCACAATGGGTACATTGCAATGCCCAGAACTGGACACAACACTCCAACTGAGTGCAGAACGGAGCAGAATGACTTCTCATGTCTTGCTCACAACACTCCTGTTAATGCAGCACATAATCACGTTGGCTTTTTTTGTAACAGCGTCATGCTGTCGACTCATAATTAGCGTGTGGTCCACTATGAAGCCCCTGCATAAGTATTTGCAGGAATGGGGCCAATTTGTGAGGACAAACCATTTGAAGCTTTTGAAGTTCTAAGAAATTGAATATATATATCAAATGCAAATTCTCCAGTTGAGGCTTCGAACAAAATAACTAAAATTTAGTGGCTGCCATTTGGAGATTTGGGGCTT